TGCGCCGCCGGTGCCTGCGGCTGCTGCGCCTGCTGCTGCTGCTGCTGCTGCTGCTGTTGCTGCTGCTGCTGCTGCAACAATGACAGGTTGTTGTCTGCTGCTCAGAATACATTAACAATGTCACTGCCACATGATGACAGTTTGCAAACAAATATTACAAGAAAGAAAGGGAAAACAAAATGATACAAAGTACGAACTTCAGGTTCTGGAGCATTTTCTGTTTTTCTGTTTGTCTCAACTAATCTTCATTAATTGTGACTAATTACAATCAGGATTAACCCAATCCAAAACTTAATTGTGATTAATCCACATCACAAATCAGATGAAAGTGTTAATTCTTCTCACTGTCCATTAGGTCTAATATAATAAGAAGGAAAATGAGTTGCATCTGGAAAAAAACAAAAAAACAAAAACCCAGGTGCATTGTGGGTCTACATGTATAAAAAATATATTATTTTAAATTCAAGGTTTTTGACCTGCAGATATAATGAAAAACATGTACATAAATACTTTTTGTACTTGTTTAAAGAATTTAGATTTTCTTCAACTCAAAGCTAAAGTGAACCAAACCATTTGAGGTTAAATGTATTTTCAGATTCATATGTGAATCATTTTCTACCATTAAATTGAGGAGTGGTTGCATGGGTGCAGAAATATTATTGCCAACAAAGGTTTTATTTCCCCCCCCCCATGCTGCCCCCCACCTCCTCCTCTTCCTCCTCCTCCTCCTTATCCTCTCCTTCCTCTGGATTCACAGTATCCAGCCTCGGGCTTCTTGAAAATGCTCCAGTCAAGGCCAGGTCTGTGCATAAACTACCTGGTGCTCACACAAATGAGTCTTTGTGGGAATTTCCCTTTAACCGTCTCAGATTTTATATTCTACATAAAACATCACCAAAGCACTTACGCGGGCTTTCATTATGCTTCTCGTATTAAAATACCTTTACATTTCTGACGGGGTTATGCACATATAAAAATAAAGGTCTGTCTTATTTGGCTGCAGCGAGAGAAGACGTGATTCAAATGTCAGCACAGATCCACAATAATAGAATCTCTGTGAAGCAGCGGTAAAATCAGTTTGAAAAAGTGATAAAGTAGTCAGAGAGAACCTCAGTGTCGTACACTTTGACTTCCAAAGGTGGATTTTGACATTATATTAAAGTTTATAAATTTTTCCCCAAAAAAATATTCTATAGATTCACGTTCACAGGACTGAGAACAGCAAACGTTTGGGAGCAGGTTTGTAACATTGATTGAACTATAAGGGAATGTGACCTTGACATAACGTAAAAACCACTGTTTTCTGGAGTCAGAACCTAAAGCCTTCGCTTTTAATACCAGTTACGTTATACTGTAGTACCTCGGTGGTCCAATAATACTGAGAAAGTACACAAGTAAGAACCGTGTCAGTAAGGAAAAGAAACAAATGTTTTTTTGGCTAAAAGACAAGCAGCAGAACAACCTCTAGCTCCACGGGGTCTTGTACTGTATCAACACCACTGCAGAGATGCAGCAGAGTAGAGGGGTGGTCCATCTTTTGTAATATTTGGAGTTTAAGGATCTGAAGGTTGGTTCCCGTTCAGGCCCTGAGGTGAAGTACGAGGAGCAGGACTGATGGACGTGTCTGGAGGTTGTCTTTCTGTCATGTTGTCAGGGAGTGAGTGAGCAAACCCCCATCAGCAAAAAGCCCTCAGCATATTGTCACGCAATGGGCTGTAAAAATACTTATCCAACACACACACACACACACACACACACACACGTATAGACACACAGGTTATGCAGAACGCAGACAGCCAATTGCTGGTTGGGAGTAATTCCTGCTCGGGGCGCTGTGCTCCGGGCGAGGCAGGCCGACGCTGGATATTTCATTATTCATTAATTTAGTGTTTAACAAATCCTGTCATTACTGAGCCTCAGCTAAGTTCACACACACACACACACACACACACAGCCAAAGCAGTGGGTGTCAGAGTGGGTGTCAGCCGTGGCAAATCGTCCTGTTTGATCCTGGTCCTTCCCTACAAACGGGGAGAGAGCCATGAATAATAAGGAACGCGGGGCCTCGCGGGAACGAGGGAGCGTGACACTGTCTCACAAAAAGCCCTTTAGCGTGGAGCAAAGCTCCGCCGGGGCCTCACCTAGGGGCCCCAGGTTCATTATATGAAAAGACAAAACAAACAGTTGGCCCCAAATGTGATCGATATAATAATAAAAAAAAAAACAAAAAAAAAAAGGCAAAGAGTCTCTGAGACAAACCGAAGGAGAAAGAAAATCGCTACAGTTTGACAAAAGAAGACGTACAGATTCCAAACCTGAAATGTTTGGTGAGTTTGTTGTTTTGAGTCCAGTTTTGACGAGATAAGAATAAAAGTGGTTTTTGACTCATAGATCCTTGATTTGGAGGGAAAAAAATACCTTTAAAAATATATAATTTTTACTCAAGTGAAAGCTTTTACGGTTTGTCTTTTTCACACCCTGGTTTATTCATTTCAATCCTGAATTGTGTACGTAATTAATTATTCAGTAAATAATAAATAAAACAGCAATACAGTATTTTACTGTAGACAAGATTTGTCAGCAAATCTAGAAAATCAGGTGACTAAGACTCGAAGCCTCCCTCAGTTAAATAAAGACACTCTGTGAGGCGGTGAGAGGATGGAGCTGCCAATGACTTTATATCAGAATCTGCAGCCCCTCCAGAGTGACACGTGTGTCGGTGGGTGGCCTCAGACTGGATGTCATTAACATGTGACATATGTAGAACTGACTGGGAGTGGCTGGAGGCCAGTCTTGGTCCCTGCCACTCTTCCAGGGGTCTGCAGGGCAGAAGAGGACAGAGCAGGCTGTTTCTAGAGAGAGTCTGGAGACGCCCAGAGTCAGGAGGCTCAGGACCAAGTCAGGACCAAGTCAGGACCAAGTCAGGACCAAGTCAGGACCAAGTCCATGTCTATTGATATGAGTAAAATGTTTGACTGTGAATGTGTTGTTTTTGGTTGGAGGATTAGAGAAAAACCTCTGGTGTCTGGGTGGGTTTTATACCAAAGGGGGAAAGTCTCCGTATTGGTG